AATCGAATATATATATATATATATATAGATAGATAGATATAGATTCCTATTAGACTATTAGTGACGCCAAGCTGAATCAAAAAATTGAGCAGTCTAACCATTGAAAAAATGGCAGACACACACACACACACACACACACAAACTCCAGAAGCTCAGCAATGAAATATTTTGTGCAATAGGCAAGGTCAGAACAGAGTGCCATTTTCTCCTAAAATATCAAAACATCTGAGACAAATACTGTACAAACCACATTTCCAAAGGATGGTTTTCCAAGCTTAATGAAAAAGAAAAATCCTCCTGGTTTAAGGGAAAAGGTGTGTCATAGCCTGAGGGACAGTGGGTAACACAAAATATAAGCAACACCAAATAATTTTTACTCTTAATGATGATCATATTTTGCATTTCAAGGAATAATTTACCCCAAAATGAAAATTCTATCATCATTTATAAGTTGTTATTAATCAAGTTCTTTTCTTGTTTGGAACACAGAAGTAGTTTTTTTGTCATGTTGTGTCTCTGATCCTCATCCTCTTTTATTTTATGGAAAAGAGCAACATGGACATTCTTTTTGTGTTCCATTGAAGAAGTAAAGTTAACTGTTTTAGAACAAGATGAGGCCAAGAAAAATGACTGCATTTTCATTCTTAATGTGAACTACCTTTTAAATCCATTTCATTTTACTTTTCTTGTTGTTTTAATAATAAAAGTAGTCTTTAATTTATTTACTTATTAAAAACAACCTTAATAATTCAAACAAAAAAGTACAATCAATAAATTAAAATACATTTTAAACAGCACATGAAACATTATTAAAAAGAAAAAAGATAAGATTTAAAAATATCAATTGACTGTGCTGCACAAATTTAGCTTTTTTTATGTTTTCCTCCATTTCCTTAGACTTAATTCTTCTTTGTATTGTATTTCAGCACTTTAAGCACAGTATACTCTTTATCAATATAGTAAATGTTAACAAATCATGGCAGTAAACTTTGTTGACTCAGACAAACTAACTGTAAACAGACCCCTGCTATGGACGCAGTGAAGGCAGCCCATGCCGGACATGTTTGTTGACCCCTGTTTATTCTTCCCTGTTCTCTGCAGGAGTTTGAGAAGAGGAAAATGTTGTAACTTGTTGCAGGGAGTGTGAGAAACAAACTGGCCTCCCTGCCTTAGGACCTTCATCCCTGCTGGAGCCCACCACCTTCCTCCAGGCTCAACAGTGCGCACACTTTGTGTTTTCAACAGATTCTATCAGTACATATTCCATATTTGCACCAGAGGAAATAATAATAATAATAATAATTAAAAAAAAACATTTCAGAGTCTATCACAGCCTTCGTCTTAGAAGTGTACAGCACAGGAACATATCCACCTTCTAATCCAGCCACAGTCGGAGCAATGTAAGCCATGTTGTTGCTTTATGTCATAATGTTTTCTCTCCTTCTTAAACAGAAAATATATCTCTTATGCTCTACCTTGTGGTAGTTGATTTCTTTATACATTTAAAATTATGCTGCATTTGTTAACATTATGATGCATATGCTGCAATGTGTGAATTTTAAACTGCAGCACAATGCTGTTCTCCCTTTGCACTGGAACTCATTTGTGCAATTGAAAACCTTTGGCATTCCTTTTCAGAGTTCCCTTTGCAGTTCACTCTAGCTCAGCGTGAGCATATACATTTTCTCCTATAGTTTTCAGCTTTTACTTCATATGGCAGGCATAATTATAGATGTGAAGATGGCTCTGACAGATTTAGAAAGCTGTACCAAAGACATCATTGTCAGGTAATGCTGGCCATCCACAGATGTCGTAACGTATCGCTCAGAAGCCAACGCAAGATGGACTATTTAGTCTTTTTCGTGCGACAACTTTTACTTTAGCATGACGAAATTGGAGCGCTAAATGGTTAGAATTACTGAAATCTAGTTTGCATTGAAAAGAGCGGAACTACATGTCACCTGTCCCAGGGTTTTAGCAAGGATTTTCATTTGCAGACACAGGTTTATTAATTCTGGCAAGGTAAAATGTGTGTGGGAGGACTTTCTCCTTTCGCCCTGTAATTGCATCTCTCCTGCCTAATGATATGCATTCACATTTTATTCCGATAAAGAATGAAAATGCAAATTTGTTCTCTTGCCAGGTGCATTTCAGAAGTGCTCAGAGTTGATGAATATTCTTAGTTGGAATCACATATTTATCAGCCTCAATTATGCAGAGTTGCACAGGTTGTTTGTTTTGGAAAAAATGTGCGACTTTGCTCAGATTTCAATAACACCAATTTGTGTGGAATGAGTGGGAGGAGGTCAGCCTGGAAATGTCACCGAATGTATGGTACACTGACTGTATCGTTACAGCCCTCCAGCTGAACTGTAATGGGAAGAATAGGGCGGGAAAAACACTGAGATGAGCTCTTCAACTGACACGCAACACATCTCTCTATCTGCCTTTGTGCCGAACAGAAATTGGGACACATACTTTGAGAAAATGATCACAGATTCGCTGACTGTGTGATATCTAATGCTACAGTTGCGCAAGATTTGTGGATGGGTACCGGATTTTATTCTTAGAAATAAGACTTGAGCTTATTAGTGCTCGCCAGGGTAGACGGGTTGTACCAGTTGTTCATGAGCTTTTTCTTAAATTGGGACAGAAAGTTCACACTATATGGTGTAGTAACTAGTTTAGTTTGTGACTAACTCTGTACTTCGTATGGTTGCACTGTTTGTTCTTAAAGGAACACTCCACTATTTTTGAAAATAGGCTCATTTTCCAGCTCCCCTAGAGTTAAACAGTTGAGTTTTACCGTTTTCGAATCCATTCAGCCGATCTCCGGGTCTGGCGGTAGCACTTTTAGCTGTAGCTTAGCATAGATCATTGAATCTGATTAGACCGTTAGCATCTCGCTCAAAAATGACCAAAGAGTTTCTATATTTTTCCTATTTAAAACTTGACTCTTCTGTAGTTACATCGTGTAGGAACACCGACGGAAAATGAAAAGTTGTGATTTTCTAGGCCGATATTGCTAGGAACTATACTCTCATTCCGGTGTAATAATCAAGGAACTTTGCTGCCGTACTATGGGTGCAGCAGGCGCAATGCTATTACACAGCACCTGAAAATAGTCCCCAGCACGCTCCCTGTGCAAGCAGGTGGTCATGTTGGTTATGTTGACGGAAGTTAGCCTATTTTCAGGCGCTGCGCAATATCATTGCTCCTGCTGCACCCATTGTACGGCAGCAAAGTTCCTTGATTACTACACCGGAATGAGAGTATAGTTCCTAGCCTATCGGCTAGAAAATCACAGCTTTTCATTTACCGTCGGTCTTAGTACACGATGTAACTACAGAAGAGTCTAGTTTTAAATAGGAAAAATATCTAAACTCTTTGGTCATTTTTGAGCGAGATGCTAACGGTCTAATCAGATTCAATGATCTATGCTAAGCTACAGCTAAAAGTGCTACCGCCAGACCCGGAGATCGGCTGAATGGATTCGAAAACAGTAAAACTCAACTGTTTAACTCTAGGGGAGCCTATTTTCAAAAATAGTGGAGGGTTCCTTTAAAACACACTAATTTATGGCTCAGGGCTGACTTTTGCCTATTTTCAAAAATAGTGGAGTGTTCCTTTAACACTTATATGCTCGCCTTTAAATAAAGCGCAGCTGAGTATTATGACATTTATCTTTGTAGATCCAGTAAGCACCCTTCAAATCTGTGAACTGAGGTAGAGCTGAGTATTTCAGTTTGATCTTATGGGTCATTTTTCATGCTGCTTTTGCTTCTTGGAACTCTCAACCATAATAAATTGCATTTCCTTTGAAATGTATACATATATAATCATAAAATACAATAATTATATATAAACAATTTTCAGGAACAATATAATAGCGCAACAGCCAAAATTCCGGAAGTAAAAACTTCATTCATTTTCTACATAGGTAAATTTTAACAATAAATTAACAATAAATCATAAACCTTTAAAGACAGACCTGTTTTGTGGTTATTGCACGATGGTATGTGCTTTTGTTACAGCAATCTGTTTGCATTATTATTACAACTTATTTTTAAAATAATCATGTTAAACGGTGGAATTTATGAAAAACTACATTACCCATAATACTGTACAGAAAATTCCACTAATCAGAGTCCTGGCGAGCAAATTGTGCCAAAGAAAAAACTCTGGAGGGAACTCCCGCTGCCGTGAAGCACCGCAAATTACGTAATCAAGTCAGTCTCCCTACACTCTCAAAATAATTAAATATTTGTATAAATATATTCATATTTTGCTTAATGGGATTGCAGTACTTTTCTTCACTTAAGCCATTAAGTACACAGTCTTGAACGTTTTGTCTTTTGTCCGATTTTAATTTATAAATTTTTTTTTGGCTTCACATCACAGTTTTATATTTTTGTGATTCACTTCGTAGTTGATTAACTTGGTTCAACATTGTAATAGAATCCCTATGGGAATTTTTTTTTTTTTTTTTCAGAACTAGTGCTGCTGAAAAAGTGAGCAGGCACTAATGCAATCTATTAAAATATAATTTTTTATAAAAAAAAAAGATAATCTTTTTTTTTTCCCCTCTTAAAATGTAGACAAGTGTACACCATATGTGTCTGTGAGGTAAAAAAAAAAAAAGTTATTTATTCAGTCTGATATTTTATTCCAGTCTTTATATCATGATGTTATGATTCAACGAAGTTTAATGATGTAACACTCAAATATTTAGTTTAAATTGTAATTTAGTGTCCATTTACACCACAACCAGGCTAAGTAAATTGCACAAAGCTGATTTAACCAGCCTCGACACATCCTCAAGTCAATTTGAAGAAGAATACATATATGCATATATATATATATATATATATATGCATATGTATATATATGTAGGCCTATATAGATTTTAGTCTGGATACATGCCATATTTTTTTTGACAACACTCTCAGAAATATAGGTACAAAAGCTGTCACTGGGGCGGTACCTTTGGGCTGTCCACTGGAAATATTTTGGAAATACATTTTAAATGTTGCATCATGCAGCTGAGTGATCGACACCAAGATGAACAAAAGTACAACCCATTAAACAGGCTGTACTTTCTCTCAGCCTTGTTTTCATTCATGTAAAGTTTAATATGGCATCTGCGTCCATAAAGGTCCACAGCTTGAAAAAGTAACATTTGTCATTTTAAATCGCACCACTTTTGACGCCTGAATCAGTAAAGAGTTGCGTTTTTTATTGGTTAAACTTCCATTAGGTTGTTGCAGATGCTAATAATGACATGAAATGTCTTAATATGCATGGTTTCTCCTCAGGTGTACGACTTCATAGAGCCCTTGCAGGAAATTTAACATCAGTGGCAGCTTGTCATAGTAGCGAATCTCATAACATAAGAAAAATGGAAGTTTCTTGCTACTTAACACAGATACAGAAGCAGGCCCTTCATATTATAACAATCCATTATCTCCATTGTCATGCATCATCATCATCATCACTTCCACAACCATTCCTCACAGTTCCTCCACATGGTATTTTCTCAAACAAGGAAAGACTGGGCCTCATGGGAGCTTATATAAAATGTTTTAGGGTAATGTATGGATAACTTTGAAAAAAAGAGACACTGATAGGGTCTGGCCAGATTTAATTTCTAATGATCTAAATAAGACTTTAAAGGATGGATCACCCATTAATGAATGTTGCCTTTTACTTTATATTCCAAGTCAATTGAATGTATGCACTATTAAAAATAAAGCTTCCAAAAGGGTTTTTTCGCAGCGATGCCATTAAAGAACCATTTTGGGTTCCCCAAATAACCTTTCAAAAGAGCCTGCTTTTTTTCTTTGTGTGAAAAACATTTTAATAATCTGAAAACCCCTTTTCCACTATAAAAACCTTCTACATGATGCAGGTTCTATTATTAAATAACAATTCAAATGTTGTTCTGTTTGCTATATGGAAAGCTATTATGTGGACTTCTATGGTGCTTAGACCCCATTTATTATAATTTCATGGAAGAGACTGACTAGAAATTTTTATTTTTTTGTGTTCCATATTAGTCAGGGTCTGACTTTGGGAACGACACGTGGGCGAGTAAATGACAATAGCATTTTTGTTTTCGTGAACCATTCCTTTAGCTTCATGCAATGCTGTAAATAGCAACATTTTGTAGAAACCGAAAAATAGATGCTAATGGAGCCTATAAATGTGCTCTTTCACCAGACGTCTTTGTACGCTTATCTCAATTTCGTCACTGTCGGCCTAAGAAAAGAATATGCTGTGTAGCCTACATATTGTTACCAATTACGTTCCAATCTACATTTGAAAAATTACCATAATAAAGATTGGAGCTCGAATTGGCTTTATTTGTTTGGGGGCTTAAGGTATCTGCTCTCCCGGAACTTTACAGTGGCCAAGCACTGCCGTGGCACTCGTTATCTTTGTGCATAGCTAATGAAGCAGCGCTGCGGCGCACAC